AAGTGATTTAAAGAGAGAAAATCTAAAGTTCTGTGTGGATACTATCCCAGTTTCATTTAAACACCCGGTTTCTAGTAGCATTGCACGTGCCAGCGTATAGTGACCTGGAATGTATTAGTGATTTTGGTGATTCCGAGTGGCGCGTACAAACAAGCAATGGTCATGACCTTGAAAACGGTGTTCCAAAACAATAGCTCACATGCTAGCTGACCTATAAGAACACTGATTGTTTTGGTTTTGAGGACATCGTGTACCCACACCTTGTCCAGAAGGTAGAACCGGAAGAGTGATTGATCTGTCGCACTGCTTATATTATTTGATCAGCTCAACCCCCCCTCCCCGGTCCCAGTCACACATCTGTTTGCCCCGAACATAGGAGCTAGATTTCGAATGGTCGCGGATTCTAAGAAAACTTTGTGGTTACTTGAATCATTTGATTCCTTACATCAATGTTGATGATAATGGATGGAAAATGAATACAATTATATTACCATTTTCCAATTTCATTACGTCTGTTAGAGTCTCAGTTACATTACCGGTTGGGTCAATCGATGCTTATAGGTGTGCGAAAAATATCCCATAGAGCTTTACTCGGAAAATGAGATTTAACCTTTGGATGAGAATATCTGATACTAATGCTTATAGGATTGAGAACAGTGAGGTGCATAAGAAAAGAAAGATAAAACATTATCGGGGAAGTTGGTGCCCAATTTGCAAATCAACAAATGATCGTTGATACAAGAACGTAAGTAGACGAGCAAAAGGTGCAGAGCTGGTCTAGTGAATGCACGGTTCGGTCAAGCAATGCGCACAAAAACGATGAGAAAAGCTTCCACAAGAAACCGGTTGCATGGATATTGGCTGTGAAATCCTCCGGACAAGCGTTTGGGGAAATGCAGAATGTTACTTACACACTGTCTATCGGAGTCTGTTGTTTTATATTGGCCGAATAACAAAATGCAGTGAAAGAGTTTCGGAAAGCTGTAGGAATCCAAGATATATTAGGGGGTGGGATTGAATATTTTTGGAATTTTGTGCATAATACGATTGGGGCTGGATAAAAGTTGTCAAGTATCAAGGTTTCCTGATAATATCAGGAAGGAAGAAAATTTTGTTGCAGCATAAGAGAAAAGGATGCTGCAATCAAAAATTTCAAAGTCTGTACCCAAAAGTAGAAGGTCACAAATTTTGCATTTATGCTGGTATGAGTTAAGCAAAATGTTGATCAACCCCAAATTCACAACCACATTCAAGCGGTTACGCCAATAGTTCTTGCTATCCACGAGTCATTTCAAATTTATTACTTTATAACAGCTATGTGTCAACACATCCTATTGATCAGTTCATGATATATTGGTCAACAATACACCGTCCGAGATTCATGCTCACCGGTAACCAATCGCAAGGGCGATGAAATAAAGATTGTTTACGAATTTTGGAAAATAGTAGGTTAAAGAAAACGACACTGGAAGCTTGCATAACTGACAGCGGTTCATCCAGTAGCACAAAGTCGGATTCGGTTTTCTCAAGAGGGATGCATCGGATGCATAAACTGTGGAACAGGAGCAGATACGAAACGAATTAATTGAACAAATGAGATCGAACAGGAACACACACAACAAGACGTAACTTTTGTGAAGTGGCATTAAAAGCCTCAAGTTATAAGTTCACGGTGACCGTATTCCGGTTCCAGCAGTTCAATATGCGGCAAGCAGAATCTATGGGAGAGTCGAGGGGTTAGAATGCGTAATACATGCATAGACCAGCGCAGTTTACGGACTGGAGATGAATATTGAACTGAAAAGGTCTTCCGTATACGGTGAGACTACCGAAGCGATGTCATTAACATGTACTAAGCAGTATGTCCAAGATAGCAGTGATCAAAACTGACAATCAGAAACTATTCTCTGAAGGGACAGATCAGGGTTCATGGGGATACAAAAGGCTGCATGGGCTGTAACATGACTCCTTTCCTCACCGGAAGGATGTAATTACGACGTTGGGATAGGCAACGCAAATTGGCTTAGGCCATTACAGGTTGATGGAAAAATCTGAAGATTTTGTCAAACAAACCGCCTTCACTGAAACAGAATCTAAGATGCAGAATCGTTCCAGCCGTACATTTTGTTATCAATCAAAACCATACGCGGAACGTTCTGCAATGATACCATACTTTGCCATACAAATTAATATAACCTAAAGAGATTTTATTCTAAATCCACCTCTATTGAAGACCTTAAACCAGCAATGCAACATCAATGGTCTCATCAAGACATCACGTTTGATTCTGATTTGCAATGATATTGCAGGGCTATTGCACAAAAATAGTACATCTCAGATTTAAGGCTGATTTAAAGAAACAAAACCGAAAGAAGAATCGACACATTTCACTCATCCTTCGGTGATAAAACATTACCAGCTGTTTTCAGTCATAAATAACATCCCGGTAATTCCAACGGTCGCTTCGGTTTTTATCTAAGGGTGTTTTTGCACTTTTGACAACAATGCTACTACGCCCTTTGATACAGAGATTTTATTTGTCTATTATTTCAACTGCATCGACACTCCAGTCTCACATGTGATCATGAGGTTTGCGTTTGTAAAATGATATATATGGAAAGAACCCTTTTGGACAGCAGGTAGGTAATCTTCCTTTGGTATTGAGATTAAGCTTCGCAGAACTTCCCACAAACGGTAATTCTCTTAGATCATAGCAATGTTCACGGTGGTGTTGGTGGTATTGTGAGTTTTACCGATTTAGAATAAACGTTCCCTGTAATGATTGTAGTAGTAGTAGTAATACGCACTGAACTCGGAATACGAACCACACAATAAGAATCGCGGAATACGAATCAAGGATTAGCAATCGCGGACCGAATTACGCAAACACCGGACCGCACTGGCACTAGCACGCAATATCCCACGTAAATGAGATGCGAGGAAAAAGGTCTTAGGAGTAGTGGCTCCTTTATCGGAAGAAAAAAGGGGGTTAAATAATATAAACAAAGAAGGATCATTGGTTATCCGGGCTTCTACTACTAGCGTTCCAGAATTGCTTGCATCATTCTGCTTCTGCTTGGGCCGCACGGTCTCTGATTGGCTGTTACAATCTGCCGATGGTATGAAGTCAGAAGCAGTGNAAGCAGTGACACGTACGCGCGTTGTTGACGTCACCCGTGAAGTTTGATTATTCGCAGTTGTCCAAAAACTGAAACGCGTCGCTCCAGGGTAGGCATCATTTCGTAGGCCCGGATCACCACATCTCCCAAACAATATTTAATTTGTTCCCCTGCGAATCGATATCGATAGATTATGATTTAATTTTCCCGTAGCAGAAGTTTGAACTTTATCCGGTATTTCGCCCCACTGATGGCCCGATGTGATAGGAATGAGATTGACATGAATACCTTTCCAATACTTAGGGCGGNGGCGGATTAATGTATACTTTTTGTGCTAAACCCGGAAGATGCAAATTTACATTGGCCAATTGAAAAGTAATAACTATACTCATTTTTTCGACCGGAAGGTTAAATAAGAGAAATTAAATCCTGATAGTCAACCGAAAACTAAGGTTGACTTCCAGTAAAGTTCCCAATGGTAGTTTACATCATAAACATCTTTTTATATTGGAAGTGAGTAATCTATAGTCTGGTGTATTCTTTCCCGTGTTGTGACTATAGTTCGGTGTCACCACTGAGCTCGATTTCCGATTGTCTGCGCATTAATTAATTCTCTCAATGTGCACGATTTTTCGCCACCGCACACATGAATCGTTCACGCAACTTTATCTCCTTCTCATGAGTATGTGTGCGCCCGCGCGTCTCATCTGTCTTTTTGCGTCTGCCTGCATGCAATGTTGCGTGGGTCGATAGGTATTTGCTTGCAGCTCCAAGCCGGAAATGATCACACGACCAAGTCTGTCAGCAGTTGATGAATGTAAACAGACAACTGACTCACTGGTCTCAAGGTGCGATACCTGCTCACCAAATATTGACAGTTTATTCGTTCAAAAGTTAAAAGAAACCCGACGCGTTCCAACGAAAATCCTTCCACTTTTCGGTAAAAGTGAACTTTCCAAGTCGTTGCAAAACAAAACTCTGAACGTCGTCCGGATTAAACTATCTGAAACTATCTGAAAACATGCGTCAGTTTGTCCAACAATCACGGTTAGACCATGCCTATTGATGTGGCAGCAAACGTCTGCTATCTGTATTTTTGTCCATCATCCAGGAGTCTTTGAGCCTCGGCAACATGGAATAACCTGTCAAAACAACAAATGCACTGTAGTCGACCCCGTGGAATTCGAACGGTCAAAACACCGTTTGTTGTTGTTGTTATTGTTGTTGTTTGAACTACCAAACGGGTAAATGAAAAATAAGTTCTACTTTCCAAAGTGTGAGCGGTGCTTGTGTGCGGTCGTGACTGCTCGTGTAAGTGCGTTCGTGTCAATTAGTGCTTGCGTGTATACAGCGTCGACACTAGTGGGATGATCGTGCCCGTCGGTGTGTGTGTGTGTGTGCGTGCGTACATACACCCGTGTGGGTGTCCTTGAGACAGCGTTCGTATATCCTTGTGTTTGACCCCCTGCACCACCTCAACAACGAGGAGTTTATCATGCATGTGACCGAGTTGTGGATCGCACAAATTAACCAGAGTCTTGATATGACAGTGCGTGACTGTGATTCTTTTCCGGATGTCCGATGATCTGACAAACTAATTTTCAGCCCCCCCCCCGTGGGAGGGTGTCAGTTTATTCACTCGTTTCTCCAAGAGGCTCATTCAAGGTGTGATGCTGGGGTGGAGTTGAATGGACAGGAACGGTTGGCAACACAAAACGCGTTTGTTGGCGTGTATCTACAATCGTATGTATGTATACCCATATCCGTATGTCAGTATACTGAATTACATGAGACTTCAACTGTTATGTAAATATGAAAGTGTATAAATAGCAGTAGTACAAATAAAGCATAACCAAGCCCAGCGACTAGACTGCAAAAGCAATGTCAGAAGTAATTGCAACTGTTACTACTCTCGCTGATGGAACCATGGCCCCCGTGATCGGATATCAAGTCCCCTCGGGAACCGTTGCACCAAATTCGAACCTGGTCACTCCCACCGAATTCGATTGCCATGAACGCGCAAAACGTGATCCGAATCAGCCGGAGATGTGCACCACCACCACCACCTCCACTACCACCACAGTTGTGACCATACCTCGGGAACTCACTGTCGGTTTACATTCCTCACTGTCATTGGATCAAAGTGAGTGCCGTTCATCTGCTAAAGCGTGTTGTTTTTGCAAATCGGATTTGACTTATGGTTAACCAGTTCTTCAAGCAAATGTGGTGCAAACTAGTTTGGGTGGAACCGAACAATATGATACTATGGATAACATTTCTGTTTCTTTCGTCATTGACTGAATGTACAATCGTCTAGCCACGGATCATAAAGGGGCTGTGATCAATGAAATGCTGTCTCGGAATATAGATAAATTAAAAGAGGGAACCAGTGATGATGGGATCCTAACATACGACCCCAAGGTCGAAGTGATGGCACTCTTTAGCGCTTCACCGCTGGCGGTAATTTTTGGATCTTGCCCTCTATCTCAGTATTTACATGATATGACTTATACATAATTAGCTAAAAAGAATCAGTCGTGAGAATCTACGACAGAAAGGCTGAAATTAAAAATACTATCCATGATTTTGTTATTGTTTAAACGAACTAGAACTTCTTTGTTGTCATTCAGGCTAAATCTTCCGCTGAATTCTTTCAATTTACATTATTACACAATAAGAAACTCACCAGAACATTACTTCTGCAACAGAACCCCATGCGAGATAAATCTGAATGTGAAGTTCATTTTAACTTGTTCCTTGTCAGTCGCGTCAATGGTGATTTCTTTTCTCCTATTGTGTCACCCTCTATTCCAGTATCCCCAATTTTCGTAAAACCCACCACACACACCAAACCATTAGCGATCGTAAAGTCTTCTTCAAACCTGGAAGTGATCGGTGCTGGCCTGATGCGTACAGGCACAACAAGTTTAAAAAGAGCACTCGAATTGTTGTACCATTCACCTTGTTACCATATGTCAGAGGTGGCTTTCAAACACAAACAATCGCACATCAGAATGTGGATTCAAGCTCTGACACGAAGACCAACCTCTCATAGCCAGCTAGCCTCTGGACACGCACCCGGAATGCCGTTTGAGAAAATGCTTCAACACCTCTATCAAGGGTACACGACCGCGGTAGATTATCCTACATGTGCATTCTACAAAGAGTTAATGGCTATGTTCCCAAATGCCAAAGTGAGTTTTTCCCCCTGTGGTTGTTTTTAATTGATTCAACAAGTTAACGACCTGTGTTTGCAGGTTCCCTTGACATGGAAATCTCTTGAAGCATAGTTCAGATTCATTCTGTAGTAAGGTATTTGATAGCTACCAGTTCTTCACCTATTGATTAAAAGGATGAAATGAAATATAAGGGTTATAAACCTTACTTACATTAAACTGTTCTGGATAACCGGATGACTGGTCGTTACCATCTTCAATGCATCCGACAATCACAGTCTGTCACAATCTTGATAATATGAATGATAATAGTAACCCAAAGATTTGGAACTACACGTCAAAATGTTGTGTTAAAAATGCGTGACCGTCAAGTCTGTCATTGGTCTCAGTTGCATAATTGGAATTGCCTTAAGTATTTACGCATTGTGATAAATACCCATTTCCTACTTTGACATATTTTGTGTCAACCGTAATAAATTGCATTGTAACAAAATATATTTCCATTTTGTTTTCCATGTGGTCAGGTTATATTAACCGTGAAAGATCCCTACGAGTGGGTCCAGAGCTGTAGAGTCACAACCTTATCCCCCATTCTAGTTGGTCGCCTCAGTTGGGGAGATCGTCTATACTACTGGCTTCGAGGGATCAAAAATTTACCCGAGTTGCACAAACTGATGTTTTCCCAAACTCTGGGTACCACATTCAACGAGCTGACAGATTTCGAATTGATGAAGGCATATCAAGAATGGAACGACCAGGTGATCGCCACAGTTCCAGCTGATCGTCTGTTGATTTACAACGTGAAGGACGGTTGGGATCCGTTGTGCGAGTTTCTGGATAGGCCACAACCAAACGGGATCACCAAATTCCCACATCTGAACAAAAGAGCCGATATGAGCAAGGTGATTATTGGATTTTATCGAAATGGTCGATGGCTAGATAGCCTACTTTTTCTACTCTCTTTTGCTCTATTTTGTGTGTTTGCGTTTCTGACAATCTGTCACCTCAGTGGACCAAATATAGTGCGTTAAGTGAGTCCATTTACCGTCAAAAAGTTACATTCCATCGTCAAGTGAGCCTATGCATAGAATTTGATTCACACATTCTACCTCTTCCTCACTCCACGTGCACCCATCTCTCCTCCTCTTCATTCTGCAGTGACAACGCTGCTATCGCGAACCCACATTCCGCTGAACCACACCTTCAACCAATTTTCTACCTCCTGTACAACACCTTTGTATAGTTACATTTCTAGTTTTGTATTTGTGTAATCATTACATTAAAAAATCATTTTTTATCAATCAGGTTTTCTCCATCTGGGTTTTGGACAATCGGAAGGTTAATCATGTATTCCGTATCTCAGGCTGATCTGTTATCACTAGGAACCTTATGGAACATTCATACTACTGAAGTAGTAAGTAGATTAGAATAGGCTAATGAAGGTGAAACTAAAATCATTTGTATGGGATTAGCTTCCGTAAAACCGCCAGGGAAATGTTACGCAGAGAATCGATGGGAACTTCATTGTCAAGATAAAGCGTTTGACTGAATGAATTGAGGATTTGAGATGAAGGGGCAGTCAGAGGGACGGCCAGTCCACATCAATTTCGCACGTGTTACAACTGATCTCAACAATGGTATCCTGGTTGTATGCCGACTGTGTAGGTCAATAATCGCTCGGTGAACTAAAAAGTACGTTTATTTAAAGAGGAGACATATGTAGCCGGTTTTTAGGCCGGTTAGCAAGCAGCAGCGAAACACGTCGACAGACAGACCTACTCTAGCGCAAGCGCTACATAAAAGCAGAATGTTGTGATGATTGTTCATATGGGAGCAGAGATAATGAGGTCTCATGGGTTTAATATTTTTGATGTAGATTTATGTGAATGGTGGATGGCTTTTCTTACTGATATATACATATTCAGGCGGTTTACCGAGTAAGTTTCAAACTCGGGACGCTGTTGGCTGAGAGTAGATAGGTTATTTGGTCAGAGCACGTGGTTACTTATCATGGAGGCATATTGGTTCAACTGAGACAGATAGAAATATATAATGAGAGGCAAAAGAAGTATAACGGCTTTCTTCTAACTTTATTCAGCAAGTTACTAATTAAATTCCTACAAGTATTTAGCTTAGATTAGGCCTCCCCTGTTACGCATATGTAGGCTTTTGGCATAGATCTTTGGCCACCTGTGAGCACGCTTATTGTGAGTAAAATTAGCAGTAATATGTATGAAATTATCTTATTCATGCGATATTTTTAAGGGATGCATTCCAATTCAATCGATTCATCACCCGTGTACAAAAAGTTGATCTACGTTGGCACTAGACTATGGAATATGGACTAGACTCTGGAAATACGGAATATTTATTTGTACCCTTTTAAGGATTAGTTGTGGTCATCCCCCTAACGACAATCTTTTATGTCGTCATATGTGCTAAATAAGCCTTTTCTTTTTCATCCACAGAACAATAGAGCACATGACTGCTTTGATATACGAGCAGCTTAGATAAAAAATACCTCTAAAAAAACATGAATGTAAATTCAAATGCGATGGAATTATTTGTCAGTGGCCACTCCAGTATTAAAATGAGCTGATCATTGTTTACATGGGATGAAAATGTTTGTGATAACCGACAAAGAGCACTGGAGAGCTGTTTCTTCCTGTTTGGGACTCGTCAGCAGTGCGTACGTTTTGCGTCCCTGTCAGAACTCGAACTCGGGTTGGGACTTTAAACCCTTACCCCTGGGCTACACGGTCGACGGTGATCGTCAATGCTCTTTGTCGGTTATCACAAACATTTCCATCGCATTTGAATGTAATCACCTCGTGATGAATCAACGATCTCCCAAGGAAGGAAACCCACATCGAAGACAATCAAGAGTGTCTGGTGCCTCTGAACAATCGAAAGGGCTAATCCAAGCTTGATATTCTACATAAATGCAAACTACTTAAATGCAATTTTGTAACGTCAGTGATCAGGTGTTTTTCAAAAATACGGTTCCGTGGAAGAAATATAGCGATAAGGGGAGACCGTAGATACAGTCTTTATGTTCTCTTCATGCTAATGCGTTGCCCATCTCCCGATCAAAAGAAAAAAACACGCTTGACCTGTTAATGCAACTTCGGTTGCCACCTATTCTTTTTCCTTTGGTGCATATCGAACTATATTGCCATTTGGTTAAGATTAGATCACAACGTTAAAATGACTGGTTCCCTCGGCTGTTTGACAAGCATCATAGTAAATGTTTCCGAGTGCCTTTCGCTAATTTTATTTTCAGCATTACCAATGAAGAATTATTAATTACTGTCACCTGAGAGTAACCCTGACAACCGAAGGGTGTTATCTACCACCATAAAGAAGAAATAAATGTTGCACGCATATGATGCAGATGAGATAGGTCAAAGGTATGCAAAATTTCTTGAAGCTAACGAAACGTAATCCTAACCATTTCTTATATCTTCACTCACACAGTGCACTGGATTTCGAAGCACCTCTAAAAGTGTACATTTTTTCTCCAACTCGGTGGCAGATGCAAATCAAACCTAAATACTATGAGTGGTTACGTTGTTCATAATAAAGAAGGTATATGCAGACCTATGACTTAAAATAATTGTGCGTATTGGGTACTTTCTAGTTTAATTCCTTTCGAATCCATAGGCGTAATGATCCATGTGTTGCTTCACATGAGTCTCACCTATTGGACGCTTATTTATTCCCTACACACAGTATAGGGTGTCTGTCTTCACACTGAATCAAATAAAAACATATTTACTTCACATAACCACGCGCTCGACACGTCCTTCGTCGACTGTACAGTTCCAGTCTGAGGGCTTCGACTGCGGATCCGATAGTTCACAGTTCCAATCTCTACAGAGGCATGCACCACTAGTGAACTTCAACACGCACCAAACAGTAGCTCAGTGTTTCTTATTGACCAACCACACAAAGTTTTGGAAAACTCCAGTGGGTGTTCTTCAGAATAAGCTCTTTTTATATACAGAAGCATTAAAGCCCAAGTAAATGTTTCCGCGATTTTCAGTTTTATTTATTAACAAAAGTACAAAGCCTATGCACGTGACTTGCGTGTGATTGTATGTGTTTGAAAACTAGAACCAAACCAATTTATCAAATCAAGATTCACCGATACATCAAATGGCAAAACAAACGGCTCCATGAACTCATCTATAAAAGATTTCAGTCACTCGCGATTTCGATTAAGTCATTCAGACCACTTTACGCCATCCGAGGGTGAAACCAATGAAGAGATAGTGTATTGAGTTGGCGAGTTTTTACCGGAAATACCTGTTGTAACCAGCAAACGTCTTCGTATGTTGGTCCGAAAAGCTAGTGATCGTATTGAATTTGAGAGCTATTCAAATCATCAGCTTCTTGTTCACTCACATTGCAGTCATTCATACCTATTCCTACCATCATATGGTTGCAACCAATGACGATATAGATTACTGAATAACACCTCCTTCTGAGGCCCAAACGGATCGTTAGTCAGTAAACGAAAATAGCTTTTTCACAAGACCACAGAATTTTCAGTACCCTTTGATATTATCGGTTGGTCATTTTAATGATTCAACAGTATCGATAGACGATGAAATTTTGAAAAAGATGTAAAAGGCGAGTGGTGGTCATCACCACTAACCGCTTAAACACATCCATCATGGAACCTGGCTGACACAGTAAAAGGATAAAAACTAAAAGAGTAGGCTTGTACAGAGATGAAAGAAATGGGATAGAACTGTTATACGATAGTTCCAGAGACCACAGAGCTTCCCCTGATTACCTAACCTTCAGTCGTGATATTTTAGTTTTCGTATTAATTCGTTTACAGTTTAGCACGAAAGTTCTTCTCTGCGATCACACTGTACCTTAATTCAATCAAAAATGATATGTTGAAAATGGCGGATGATCGGTGATGGGAAACAATCCCGAGACAAACCACATCGAGAAATGTCCTCAGGATCACGCAGTAAGACAAGATTCAATGCGTCTAAATTTCTCGGCGCATGCAGATATGACAGGAAAAACAGGGAAATTCATCGAGGGGTTCATTGATTGTATTGTGTCGTTAATTCAAGCATTCACAGTCTGGCTGCGGATGATCTGACTAACATTTCACACACTATAGTTAAACTGCTCTTGTTTGTGCTTTGTTTTCTGATACAGCACATTCCTATTCAATGATTCTCGAGAAGGTTCGTGGAACAACCATGTCTTCGATAACTTTATTAATGCATCAGAGCTGAACTTAATGTTTGGCATGCGTTTCGGTCAGTGGAATCGTGGATTACGAATTTCATCCACCATTGAATTCGCCAGGTTTCAACGTTACTCCTGAAAAGTGTTGCAAAAAGTGCGGTAGGACTAGCAAAATGTTTTTATTTTCGGCAATGCAACTAATCGCAGCAGAGCGACCAACCTTGAGCGCGGGAATTCGATTTGGCACCTACAATGGCAAAGGGTGTTCTTCAACCCAAGTCAAATCAACTCAGGTCAAGAGTTCACTTTATTCATCCAATGTGGTCAGAATTTTCTGTGAAAATAATGGTATCACTTTTGTTTTGGCATTGCACTCTATTAAAAATGAGCTTTAAGATATGACAAATGGTTACTGAGATCATAATGAATCGGAAACCGAGAACGCGCAAAAATTAAGGAAAATGTCATTATGGAAATTTACATTAGACTGTGTATAAGTTCGTTTGATATTCGCTTCCTAGAAACCAACAAACGTGAAAGGTAAGGTATAACGGAGTTGTGAAAAGTAGTAGCACGAGTATATAAAGGTTTAAATTTATTGCGGTTTACAGAAGTTGAAATGGAGCTGGATAGAGCTGTGTGTAAGGGATGTGACGCATCGGACAAGATGGAGTCACAGACGTTCACACGCAATCAGGTGTTGGTTGACAATGGAATCAACCAGCTCCTCATAAGATACAGCTCCATATCTAGAGGTGCTTTTCAGAGAGCGTCTAGTTAATATGCAATCCTTAGACAGTAGACCGGGAAAGATAACGGGAGAGCAGTAGGTCCAACGGCATAAAACGCATGAGAAAATAAATTTGGCGAGGATGCACAATGGCACCCTCAGATGTCGAAGGCGCGAAATATAAAAGGTCAACTTTTTGACTTTAAGAAATGTTTGTTCTACGTGATGGGACCATTTGAGATCAGCGGACATAAAACATCCAAGATATTTGAAGTGTTTTGACCTTTTAACTTTTAGGGTATTGATTAAAATATTGAGAAAAGATGAACCAGAAAGAGCTGATAGCCTACGGTCAATGGAAAACAAAACTTCAATGCATTTGTTGGGGTTTAAAGAAAGGTTAACACCATCGGACCATTCA